ATGGGCAAAGGATTTGAATAGGCATTTCTTCAAAAGTGATATAAAATGGCCAATGTGCATATGAAAAGACACCATTAATCTAAACTAAGACGTCATTAGTCATTAGGGAAATTCAGGTTGAAATCATAATGAGATACCATTCCACAACCACAAGTACGGCTGTAGTAAAATTAAAAAAAGATGGACAATAAAATGTTGGCAAGGATGTGGAGCTATTGGAACCCTCATAGTGCTGGTGGAAACGTACTTCAGAAACTAAGTTTGGCATTCTCTTAAAAGATTAAACAGGGTTATCCCATAATGCAGCGATTCCACCGCTAAGGTAAATGCCCGAGAGAAATGAAACGTCTACACCAAACTTGTAAATGAATGTTCACAGCAGCATTATTCACAATAGCAAAAAAAAGTAGAAACAATCCAAATGTCCGTCAACTGGAGAATGGATAAACAAACTGTGGTATAGCCGTATAATGGCATAAAATTCATCCACCACAAGGAATGGAGTCCTGTTTCATGCCACAACATGGATGAACCTCGAAAACATTAAGCTGAGTGAAAGAAGCCAGTCATAAAAGGGCACATGCTATATGACTCCATTTATATGAAATGTCCAGAATAGGAAAGTCCATAGGGACAAAACGTAGATTAGTGGTTGTCAGGGTCTGGGGAGAGGGGACAATGGGAAATATTTGCTAACGGGTATGGAGCTTGTGATGAAAGTGTTCTGGAATTTGATTCGTGGTGATGGCGGCACAGCTCCGTGAATACGCTCACAACCACCCACTTGTATATTTTTAAAGGGTAAGCCTGATGGCATGCAAATTTATCTCAATAAAGCTGTTATTTAAAAAATGGTAACGGGGGCACCTGGGTGGCTCAGGCAGGTAAGCGTCCAACTTTGGCTCAGGTCACCATCTCATGGCTCATGGGTTGGGCTCTGGGCTGACAGCCCAGAGCCTGGAGCCTGCTTCCGATTCTGTGTCTCTCTGCCTCTCCCCATGCTCCAGCTCTCTCTCCCCCTCTCTCAACAATAAATACACATTAAAAAATTTTTTTAAAAATGCTACCCATCCTTCCACGTCCTTTTAAATACTTCCTCGTTGACAGTCACAAAGTCTCCGAGATACATGTAATCGGAGGCAACTCTATCTTGTCTACATAGCACTCTGTGGACCCCTTGATCACTTAGCCTCAGCCGGAAGCATGTGTAAGGAAAGAGCGAGAGCTCTGAAGACCTGGGTCCTTGTGCCAGCCACTTCCGAGGTGGGTGGCCATGAGCAAGCCACACAGTACTTAGGTACAAGCAGCAGGGAGTGCTGATGTAAGCAGAGGAGGGAATGAGCAAGTTGCTGGAATTTCCAGAAGGCTAGAACCTTCATTGGTATGTCAGGTATGGTGCCTAAAGTCAAACTAAAGAACCAGTTTGGTACAGACACCGTGGCTGCTGTGGTCAAACTAAGCTCACGTGGCCAACTCCGCGGACACTGGCCCGGACTCAAGAATGAGGCTGCCGTTGCCGCCAGAACCCCTGATGTGGCAGCCTCTCGCAAGGCCGCGTGCCAACACACCAGCCCAGAGCATATGTCGCACGAAGCGTATCCCTGGATGTCACCAACTTCTCGATTCAAAGTCCACGGCGGGAGTGCCCCCGATTGGCAAGGCCTGGGCGCTGTGCCCTCACCCTAGCAGCGGGGGACTCCAGGAAAATAAGTGTCTGTCCTCTTCAGCTTTAGCAGGAGGTGTTCTTGCCTCTTAAAGTAGCGGACTCTCCAAACGCAAGAATGGCCACCAAAAGAGGGACACACGTCCACGGCATCACCCAATGACAAGCTACCTTCCTGAGCCCGTTTCCTTATCCAAAAAAATAGAAATAATGATGGCTCCTACGCATGGGAGTTGTGTTTAGAGGAGCTGGTGGGTATAAAATGCCTATATATATATATATATATATATAGGCGCACACACACACACACACACACACTTATATACCTGGCACACATTAGGGAGGAGCTCAGTTAACGGTAAACATCATTATTAGATAGGACTTGGGTTGCATTCTAATATGTCTACTTCTCTCCCAGCAGTCCCCAAACTTTGACATCTTAGTTCATCTCGTGTTTAACAGCAGGCTTTCAAGTGAGATTCCTTTTCTAATAGTTAATCAAATTAACAAGTTTCCTAACTCACGGAAGGCCTGGCAGCCCACCCTTTCTATCGGCCTTTAGAAGCGACGGCACAGTTTCAAAATAGCTCAGGCTTCCCTGCAGAACCCTATTTACAGTGTCAGGGAAAGGAAGTTCCTAGGAAAGGTATTTGTTAACTCTAAATGAAATTGAAGTCAACTCAAGGAATGTTTGGTTTGAACCTCTTTATTTTTAGACATTTTTCTTTAGATGTTTAGTATCTTTTATTGACTCAGTGGCCCAATAAGGCAGCATCTGCTCTGTTAGGAAATGCACCTGTCAGAAATGAAATAACTCTGCGTTGTTGCAAGATCCCTGTCTCGGGAGACCGGCTGCAGACTCTTTGAGAACAGGGACCATGACTTAATGTGTTTAGTGGCACCTCAACTTCCACATAGGGGCCCATAAAGGATTACTGAGTTATCTCCATTAGTTAAAAACAAAACACTAAAACCCTTTTCTTGGCCTTCCTCTTTCCTCTTTCCCTCTCCCCCCTCCTTCACTTCCAAGCTTTCATTTAGCAGAACAACATAGACCAGAGGATAATTCCTCTGGTCAGAATTACTAGATTTCACTATGGGCAGAAGAGTTTGGTTTTCGGGCTGGAACATTCCCAACGTCTTTTTTTTTAAAAGCAGAATATCTCTGGGAAACGTATCTATTTGGGGTTTGAGCCCTTAAGGAAATGGCTTTGCCCTGGTTGGATGCCATTCTACCCCTTGCTCCTTGGGGAAAATGTTAGGGGAAATGAGATGAGAATCTTTAGGGCTTCCATGAGCTTAGAAAGGGGTCCTTTGGCTCCAATCATGGAAGCCCAAAGGAGGCTACCAGAATGGCTTTGTCCCCACTATTAGTTTGGAAGCTAGATTCCTGACTTCCGCTCAGGCACATGGACCCCTGTCCTCCTCTTGTTTGGCTCACACTCTTGTGTTTTGAGCCAGGAGGTTAGGGAATAATTTGGTACAACAGAGAGAGAGAGGGACTTTGGAGTCGAAGAGACGTGAGTTTGAGTCTTGTCTTTGCAACTTAATAGCTGTGGGACTTTGGGCAAGTACCTTTCTCCTTGAGTTTGCAATTATCACCTGCAAACAGAAAAAAATAATACCTCCCAGGATTATTGGGAAAAATAAATCCTATGGGACAATTTATGTGAAAGCATCTTGCCAAGGACCTGGTACTTGGTGGATATTTAAACACAGTAGGGACAAATGTTGTCTGGGGAGGACGAATTTGCAAGCATTTTTCCAGACATATTCAAGTGAGCATTTTTATCATGGGATGGCAGGACTCTGTGACCCTGGGTCAGTCTTCTTACCTTCCTGACCCTCGATTTCCCCTCAAAGGAGATTTCTGACTCCAAGAGGGAGACACTCCTAGAATGTGAGGTTAAAGGGCAGCGTGTGTTACTTTCTAGAACGGGATAAGGATTTATTACCTTGCTTCCAAGATGCCTTCAACGGTAAGATGCACAACTGATTAAAAACCAGCTTTTTGAGAGAGAAAGAGTACAACTACGGTAACGGACCCATTGATTTTAAGACATATTCTGACTGCCATAAACAATGCTGGCTGTCATTTATTAAGCATCTGTTGGGTGCCGTGCACTACCCCAGGTGCTTCACTACGTCCGTGGCTGATTATCGTAACCCCGGGGGGGCAGATGTCATCATTCCCACTTTGGGGTTAGCAAACTGACTATGGAGCGCTCAAGTCACTCTTCCAAGGCCACACGACCAGGCGGCAGGTCTTGGGAGACAAGTCTTCTTAATCTCAAAAATGCTTTCCCCTCTCAACAGATTGTTCTCCAGGCTAAAGAGTCGAAAAGATCAGCTCTGTGCAGAGACATGGTGTGTGAATGTGGTGCTGAGAACGTGCCCTGAATCTCTGCAAGGTGACCGGGAAGGGCGCAGGTAACATACACGGGGCTGTAATCTTATCAGTCTCTAATACTGGTCCTTGGAAGAGAGGTTTACCCGGACAGAGAGGATTGCTGGGAATCCAAATAGAGGAGAGCCAGGAAATGAGGCTGAGTCAGGCTTAACGCAGCCCCAAAGGGAGAAGAGGGGCTCTGACTAGCCCCAGACTCATTCAAGGCCCAGCGACACAGCAATAAGCTTTTGCCCTAGAGGCCATCATTCCTCAAGGTCACCCTAGTCCCTCTCGGACTCTTTACAAATGAAGTAGAAACATTTCAAGAAGAATTTAGTTTCTCCCATAGCGTTTCTCAAAGAGGGAGAAACGTGCTGACCGGTTGTCATGAGCTAGCTAGCGGTCCTCCAGTACTGGAACAAGTTATAAATTAACAAGCTGGTTTTCTGGTTAGTTAGCCCAAGTTAGTTCCCCTGTGCCTGATTAATGGGACTGAATACTTTGCTCTGCAAAGCCGTGGATATAGATGGCACTCATTCTGATCTGACCCCAGTGGCAGACCCTGTTGTACACTCGGGGGCATGCCCTAACCCCTGCCTCCTGACCAGAAGACTCCTGGGCTAGCCGTCTGTCTGTCTGTCTAGCAACTGTGTTTGGGGAAGACAGCCACATCCATTTCAGTGGATTCCCAACCTGGGTCTACCTCATCAGATCACAAAAGAATGTTCCATAGCTTTTTGTAAGGGGGGCAATAGGGATATGGACATAGCCAGGGCGGTGCAGGGCGGGACAGGGTTAGGGGTTGCCTGAAGCATCAGGAATTGAATAAGAGACGCCCCTGTCGACCAGAAGGAACTCATAATGAAGCTGCCAGAGGAGAAATGTGCTTCTGGGTCTTGACGGGAGAAGGCTCTTTGGATGGTGGCCAAGATAGCACCAGGGTGGGGGTCACCGAGTCTCCATGTGGACGTCAACAGGGCTGAAGGTCACAGTTGCAGGGTGTTGGCCGCTGTTGCTGTTTGGGCCCAAGGCAGAAGGGGAGGATGGCCTGGGCCCCTTGGGTTCCAGTTCCCGCCTTGTCCTCATTTTCCTGGAACGAGATACGCATGCATGTTGGAGTCTTCTGCCCCATAGACTCAATGATTTTGGCTCTGACGGGATTGACGTGGATCATCGTTAAATCACATTGCTTGATGGCCAACTACAGAATTTTGCAAGTGGGAGGGCCCTTAGACTTCAGCTAGTCTGACCCTTCCATTTTTTGTGTAACCTAGATTAGATATTTAATTGTATTTTTCCCCCTGTTAACGAATGGTGTCAGATAGGTGACTATTATTAGAGACGAAATGAAGACGTTATGGTTTTTTTTCTGTCCAAAGCCGTAGCGTGAGTTACATTTTGCAGTTTCATTGTGCTTCCTAAGTTTATTGCTAGAAATATTTAAGAACTTTTTACGTAGTTGAAAAGAGAATGGACTCAAAACGTATATCCAGTCTTTCATTTTATATGCCAGAAAATGCAGTGACTGGCAACAATCATTAATTCTAACGTCTGCATGAAATTTCATCTTGTTGACCTAACATAATTCTTTTTTTTTTTTAATTTCAAATGCTCAGAAAAGTTGCACAAACAGTACAATTAGTATCTGAATATCCTTCATGGAACAATTTTCTGATGGCTGGCAGTTTGCCACATTTGCCTTCTCTCTCTCCTGCCCCCCTCTCTCCATTCACACACACACACACACACACACATGCACACAGTTGTTTTTTTTTAATCATGAACCATTTGAGTTAGTTGCAAAGGTCATGCCACTTCACCCCTAAATATTCCTCAAAACAATGGCATTCTCGATGTAATCATCACTCAGTTATCACACTTGGAGAGCTTTCCACTTTAAATTTTTTTTTTTTCAACGTTTATTTATTTTTGGGACAGAGAGAGACAGAGCATGAACGGGGGAGGGGCAGAGACAGAGGGAGACACAGAATCGGAAACAGGCTCCAGGCTCCGAGCCATCAGCCCAGAGCCTGACGCGGGGCTCGAACTCACGGACCGCGAGGTCGTGACCTGGCTGAAGTCGGACGCTTAACCGACTGCGCCACCCAGGCGCCCCGAGCTTTCCACTTTAAAGATGACATAATCAGGGCGCCTGGATGGCTCAGTCGGACAAGCACCAGACTCCTGATTTCGGCTCAGGTCATGATCTCACGGTTCATGAGATGGAGCCCTGCATCAGGATCCTCGATGAAAGTGCGGAGCCTGCTTGGGATTCTCTCTCCCTCTTTCTTCCCCTCCCCTGCTGCTTGTGCGTTCTCTCTCTCTCTCTTCCCCCTGCTCTCTCTCAGAATAAATAAATAAACTTAAAAAAATAAAGATGACAAAATTGAGGCACAGAGAGGTTAAATGACTTGGCTGCCTTTAAGAGACCAAAGACTGAACCCTGGTCTCTCCATTTCAGCCCAGGCATCACTGTAAACTGGTGAGTAGAGTCTCCATCCAATTACACTCCAGAAAACAGACTCAGAGCGCAGGAATGATGGACAGGAATGAAGGGCAGACATTGTGGTTTGATGCCACTTCCTGGTCTGGGATGGATCCAAATTGCAATACCCCCCCCCCAATATTAATAATAACTTATTAAGTGTTATTATTATTACATGTAGTGGTGGGAGCATTTTCTTTGAAACCACATGTACTGGCTTTGAATCCCAACTCTGTCACGGAGGGCTGAGTAGTTAGCTCATTTCCTGGTGCCTGTTTCACACCTACAAAATTGGGGGGGTATAAAATTACCCCCTTGTGGGGTTGTTGTGGGGGATTAAATGAGTTAATACAAGGAGCTTGGAATCATGCCTGGCACATATTAAGAGATCAATATATGTTATATAATATATATGAGATATATATATATAATATATACATAATATATAATATAAAACATATAATACATGTTTTATAAATAACATTAACATTATTATAAAAACAACGCATCTTGGGCCACCTGGGTGGCTCAGTCGGTTAAGTGACTGACTTCAGCTCAGGTCATGATCTCGCAGTTCGTGGGTTCAAGCCCCACATCAGGCTCTGCGCTGACAGCTCGGAGCCTGAAGCCTGCTTCGGATTCTGTGTCTCCCTCTCTCTCTGCCCCTCCCCTGCTCATGCTCTCTCTTTCCTTCAAAAATAAGTAAACATTTAAAAATAAATAAAAACAATGCATGTTTACACCTCCTCGAAAATAAATAAATATATGCACCTCTGCAAAAACCAACCAACGAACCAAATAGCAATCCCATTGTGCAGACACACTGGTTGTCAATACTTTGCTGTGTATCGTTTGAATGTTTCTTGAGTGTGTGTGTGTAATCCACATGTATAGTCATAACGTATACATTATTTTTGTAAACCGACGATATACTGTAAATGGTTGTCCTCATCAATAAAACTCTTCTATAATATCTTTTTTTTTTAACGGCTTCCAAGTCTGCTATGATGTGGTTGTGTTTATAGTCTCTTTATTTTAATTTCTTGCCTAGAAAGAATACCTTCTAGCAAAGTTGCGACTTAGAGGTGCTAACACATAAGGTGATAACACAACATTTATTCTTTATTTAAAAACATTTTTTTAATGTTTGTTTGTTCTTAAGAGAGAGAATGACAGAGCCTGAGCAGGGGAGGGGCAGAGAGAGAGGGAGACAGAGAATCTGAAGCAGGGTCCAGGCTCCGAGCTGTCAGCACAGAGCCCGATGCGGGGCTTGAACCCATGAACCGTGAGATCGTGACCTGAGCTAAAGTTGGATGCGTAACCGACAGAGCCACCCGGGGGCCCCAACATTTATTCTTTATGAAATCAAATTATATTTTGTCTTATTTGGTCCCATAAAGTGGAGCTGGGGGTACAGGCATTCCAGTATTTGAAACCTCAACTACTTACGTAGTCTGCTCAACACAACCTAGCAGAAGGCTCCCTGAGAGAAAAGGATTGAAATATTCCTCTATTACTGTAATAGCCCTCTATTACAAGGGCTTCCCACAGTGCTCAAGGCCATTATCATTGTCATTATGATTATTATATGTAAAAAATATTTCTCCAGATGCAAAAATATTACCATGAGGTTCCTACAGCAGAACAGATGTCAAAAAAGGACACCCAAAGGGTTAGAGCGCTTGACAACGGACTTAGGGATACCGCTGGGCACGCGACTGGCACTCACAGTGTCAGTTCCCATTCATTCTGACATCACCGATGGGACAAGACCATCTAGAGCCCAGGGCGTCCCGTACCTGTTGTACATCTTCAGCAGGATCAGAATCACGGTGAAGATGACAATGACAACCACGACAATGGCAGCAACGATGGCTCCGGAACCTACGAGGAGAGGGGTGGAAATGGCAAACGTGTGAACTGAAATAAAGAGAAGTGTTCAGAGACTGGCAGGGGGGCTTACACAGGGCATCCTGCATCCTCATTGGATCAAGGGGGGGCAGAGAATGTGATGTCCTGGGACCCTGACTGCTGACCCCAGGACACAGACATACATATGTACAGTGGCAGAGTACCCCTACCCCCAATGGGGCTTGAGGGCAGAGTCCTCAGCACACCACCTGCCAAAATTCTGTCTCAGGCCATCCTGTTGTTATCAGTCCTAACATAGCATCAAGCTTCCTGTGTCAACAGGCAAGCAAAGCGCCTGTCCCTCTTCTTGATGACACAAAAGAAATATGTGATTTTTGTAGTTATATTTTGAAAATATAAATGCAAGCAAAAAAAAGGTGGGGGAGGATAAAGAACTCTTGGCCCCAGGAACTGTTGATCATCTACACATATGGACGTTCTCCAGTGTGATCATGTATATGCATATATGCATATTAAATACCTATCTACCGGTCTTTTTTGAATAAAGGTATTAATCCTATGTCTGAAAATCCACCTCAAGGAAGTAGTCATAAAAGTGGGGAAATGTGCACTTGATAAAAATGGAACAATGTTCCATACACAGTTTTGCAACACTATCCTAATCATCTTTCCATGCAGTTGCATTTTTTTCCATGACTTTTGATGGTTATGTAGCACTCCATTGTTTGGACTCGTTTACCAATTCTCTATTAAGCATATTTATGTTGTTTTCAATTTTACCCTATTAAAAACAAGGCTATGGTGAATGTCCTTGTAGCTTAATATCTCAGATTCTAATTTCAATATCAATGCCCACTCCCAATGCCCACCTCTAAGTCCATGTTCAAGATCAACATGCTTGTCAGAATTGATACTGAAAATACAAAAAAAAAAAACAAAAAACCACAAAGGGGGAGTCATACTTTAAGCCAATCTGTTTGATTCTGGGGAGTTTATCTCAGGGGATAATCCTAAATACAGAAAAAGCTATATAAATGACGATGTTAGTTACGATACTATTTATATTCCAGATATAGGAATGGTTTAATAAGGTGTGCATGCCTCTCACGAAATATCGCACTATAATTTGAATGATGTGTGAAAAATAGAATATGAGATTATGTCCACACCCGCATATACACATTGTGTTGCAACCATTAAAATATGTGCATGCAAACATAATGTTGAGTAAAAGAAGCCAGACCCAAGCCTATGTATGATATGTTTCTATTTACATAAAGCTCAAAACCAGGTAGAACTAAGGTCTGGTGTGAGAGGTCAGAACAGCAGATTCCCTTGAGCAGGTGGGGATCGTGTGGCAAGGGGTGCTGGGACTTCTGGGAAACTGGTAGTGGTTCGTTTCTTGATCTGGGGGCTGGTGACACAAGCGTGTTCACTTTGTGAAAATTCATCCAGCTGTGCACTTAGGATTCATGCATTTTTTGGAAGGTATGCAATGCTCTTATAAAAGGTTTACCAAACAAAAACAAAAAACAAAACTACGTGCAAATATTGACAGGAAGTAAGACTGGAAGGAAAGAAAGAGGGGGTGGGGTGGGGGGATCCATCATAGAATAACTTGGTTTTTTTTCCTTCCTGTGGAGCCCAGTGATAATACTTTTAGTTCATGGTTTTTCAACCTTGTCTGGGTAATCCTTTGTTGTGGGGACTGTCCTGTGCATGGTAGGATATTTAGCACAATCTCTGCCCTCACTAGATGTCAACGACACTTCTCCCTCCCCACCAGCTGTGACAGGCAAGTGTCCAAACATCGTCAAGTGTCCCCTGGTAGTCGAGTGGCCAGATGAAGTATGGAATACCTATTTAAAATGAGAATAATTGGGGCGCCTGGGTGGCGCAGTCGGTTAAGCGTCCGACTTCAGCCAGGTCACGATCTCGCGGTCCGTGAGTTCGAGCCCCGCGTCAGGCTCTGGGCTGATGGCTCGGAGCCTGGAGCCTGTTTCCGATTCTGTGTCTCCCTCTCTCTCTGCCCCTCCCCTGTTCATGCTCTGTCTCTCTCTGTCCCAAAAATAAATAAAAACGTTGAAAAAAAAATTAAAAAAAAAAAATAAATAAAATAAAATAAAATGAGAATAATTTCTGACAAATCATGAATTATTTTTTTGGCGTGTCTCAAACATTGCTTGGCACATCCTTATACTCAACAAATATTGGTTATCTTAAATTCAGATTTAACTGGGTGTCCTGTATTTTATTTTCTAAACCTGGCAATTTTGTCTAGGGGGCAAAATTGCCTAGCTGAGAGTCATCACTTTTAGTTAAATGAAAGCAGAATCATTCCCACCTTGCTGACAAAAATTCTAGCTACCCTACATCTCCCTTGAGAACTGTTGTGAAATACTTCAGCAGGTTTCTGAAGGTCCCCCCACCTGGCAGGAAGCAGGCTAATGTGGGACCGTGTCCCGAGAGTGATGTTTTCTGGGTCTCCATGGAAGAGACACATCCTGCCACTAACGTGGTCTGGAGCTGTTCTTACCGGGGAAACACTTCAGTGTCGGGAGGCCTGTTCCACGTGCAGAGACATCGACAGAGATGACAGAAATGGGCCCAACTTCCCCTAATACAATTCAGCGGTTTTCTGAAGAGCGGTCATCACGTTTTTCTTTCTGGGGACCTCTGGTTCCTGGCAGGTGTCTCCCAGACTACTCCTAGCTTTACTCATTTACTCCTTTGTGAATTGATGGGATGTTTTCGCCTTACAAACGTGGGATGAAAGTAGTTACATTTTAAGGTGACTCATTTAAAGACATCTCACGTGAGAGTCAAAAGTCCATTGCCCTCTAGACCCCCAAACTCCCTGATGATAATAACAGTAATAGCAGTAATGATAATAATAATACTCATCAGGTACTTTGTGTGCCTCGAGACCATTCTAAGCTCTTGACATGGATTATATTGTTTTGTCTTCCCATCTACCTTATGTGGTAGCTTCCGTGATATCCCCATCTTCCTGACAAAAAATCAGACACAAAGCGGTGAGGTCGTGTGCTCAGGATCACGCAGTGGTCATGTCGGGCATCTGGTCGAACGGAGACTGAGACCCAGGCAGTCCATCTCCAGAGCCCATGCTCTTGACCTCTACACCATGAGCTGCCCCTGGTCCTCTTCCCGCCATTCCCTCCCCCGGTCGCCAAGCCAAGTTGACCTTACTCTTGTACAGAAAGTCCTGTTCTCTGGTGGTCACGTTCAGTGAGAAGAAGGTAGTCCCCCCCAACGGGGTGGCCGTGGTCATCTCGACCCTGGTAAGAACAAAGATGACATTTTGTTTAAAACCAGAGTGAGCTTGGGGCGCCTGGGTGGCTCAGTCGGTTAAGCATCCGACTTCAGCTCAGGTCACGATCTTGCGGTCCGCGAGTTCGAGCCCCACGTCGGGCTCTGGGCTGATGGCTCAGAGCCTGGAGCCTGCTTCCGATTCTGTGTCTCCCTCTCTCTCTGCCCCTCCCCCGTTCATGCTGTGTCTCTCTCTGTCTCAAAAATAAACGTTAAAACAAAACAAAACAAAACCAGAGTGAGCTTTATAATCCCTGTACAACGCCTCTTTCGTTCTTCACCTGGATGACGGGAGAATATTCAAGCACGCGGTTTCTCCTCCCAGCAAGTAAATAAAAGGCCTTTCGCTATCTCCTAGGGAGAATTAGAAGTAATGCCTGACATTTGTGAAGAACTTTATGTTTCGAAGCAGTTTAAATTAATTCAACAATATTTATTAAATGTCTCCTGGGTTTCACACAGAACGTCTAAATTGGTCTTCTAGAAACTCTGTGAGGGAGGCTATTATTGCCATCTTCCGGATGAAAGTGAAGCCCCCAAAGCTTCATGGAGCCCCAAGTTAGAACGTAACCCAGGGCGCCCGCCTCCCATGCCGGTGGGACTGTCAGAAACCCCCTACGACGCTCGAAATGATGTTCCTGTTTTCAGAAGTTTCCAATCTAAGGAGGCGGACATAAACAAGTAAATAAGCAGAGGGAAACCTTGACTACTATTGTTAAGCAGCCAGTGACATGAGCCATCATTGGGTTGTGACCGACGATTTCGAGGAAAAGCTAAACTGAAATGGGCCTTGAGTGACGGGCCCGGTTTGGGAGGAGAGGAGAGAGGACGAAGGCCAGGTGGCACAAAGCCCTCGGCAGGAGGACAGATAATGCGTGTTGAGCGACCACCAGGCTCTGTCACAGGCACCTTCACACGCTCTATCAGCTCACTCATTAATCTTCTCAAGCATCATCGCATTTTGCTGCTGAGCAAACTGAGGCTCAGGGCGGTTGAGTGACTCCGCGAAAGTCACACAGCGAGGAAGACGTGGAGCTTGGACTCAAACATACTCGCCGAGTGCACGGTCTTATCCCCTTGCCCCGAAAGCGACAGGAATCCAAACTCATACCCCCGTGGTCTTACACTTGAGGAGTGAGCCAGGAGGTACGCGGCTAGTACCTCACACCCCCCAGAAACAAGCGTCCAGATCCTCCCGCCAGATCCCTCCAGAATCGAACACCTACTCAGTGACCGAGGCTGTGCTAGGCGCTGGGAACAACACTACGAGATACGAGACAGACTCCCTGCCTCCAGAAGCTCACATTCTAGTGAGAGAGGCCGTAGGTTTGATCACGGCATTCTTGGGCTCAAACACAATTGTCTCTCAGCGCCCACACTTGCGTATCTGGCAGGACAAACCCTTCCCTGGCTGTTTCCATGCCCTCTTCCTAGCCTCTTGCCTCCTCACACCAAGCTCTGCCCAACCTCTGTGACAACAGACCATTCCATCCTCCTCCGTCGTTCCTGGTCTTTGCGGTGGGCGGGCTGCCCCACGCTTTGGCCTCCCCAGGTCCCCCCAGTGGGCCTCTCCTGAGAGCAGCTCCCCAGGCCCCCAGCTCCTGATGGAAAAGGGTCAGTGTCCCTCCATTTGGGAGGGGGGGGACGGGTCACTGCACCCAGGCTGGGGCTCTGGAGTCTGTGGCTTGCCCCGCCCCGTGGGGGCCTCAGACTCAGAAAGACCCCCTCTGCCTCCACTTTCTCTGCCCTCCTTTAAGCCATGGGGCCCTGCCTAAAACCCCAGTTCTTGTCTGTCTCTTCCTACCAAAGACCCTAGGGCCTTAGGACCCACGCAACTCGGGCTCTCCCAAGGAGCCCTGCAGGGCTCTGCCTGACCTTCCTGCAAGGGCCAACCTTTCTTCCTGGCTGGGCTTCCTGTCTCCTGACTGTCTGAAACAGGCCCGTGGGCCATGTTCCACTGCCTGCTCCCCCTCCAAAATGAACACATCCTTCAAGATTGAGCCCAGCCACCCCTAGGCAGACTCCCCGTCCCCCAGCCGGAATCAGCCATCTGTCCTCTGCCCCCACGGCAGCGCCCTGCCAAGAAGCCACCACGGCACGTGTCTCAGTCGCTGTGTCTGCTGGTTAACCTTCCGTGTTCACTGTCGGGGCCCTGAAGGTAGAGGCTACTCGGGGTCTTTTTCATATCCTTCTACCTCTCCCAGATACAGCGCCTGGCTCTTCTCACCGCTGCCAGTTAGAAGTTCTGGAGCGAGTGACTGGACTTCTCCCAGCTTGGTTTGCTGCACATTTGTAAAACGAGGTAGCTTTTCCCAAGGGAGCTGAGGGTTCGAGGTTAAGTACGGAAAGTGCTTTCAGTGCTCAATAAATGGTAGCTCTCAGGGTTGTAGTGGGTATTAGCAAACATTTGCCGAACTCAATGAGAAACAGGTGGATCTGGAGGTCAAAGCAAGAAAAAATTCTTTTTCCAAAAATACACAGGGACCCGTAGGGGAACATGGGATGAAAGTCTTCCTTCCCCCACCCCCTGCCCCCCCACTCCCGGTCCCAGTGAGAGGCACCTGCCCCCGCCTCCCCCACTCCCCGTCCCATCGGAAAGAGTTTTATTATGCTTTGCCTAAACCTTCTGCTTCTATCCCTACCAATATCAAGCTGAGAAGATTCACCAATAATCCTTTCTTCCAATTCCTTTTAAAAACAGAAAAGAGAAGCAAATAGGTGGCCACAGATCAAGGATCGCTTAGTGACAGAGACATGGCGTAATCCCTGGACAAGCTAACCCCTGCCTGTGGACACATCTGCCATTGAAACAACGTGCACAAAAATGACAGAAGCCTCTATCCAAGTGCCTGCTGTGTGCCAAGACCTTTTGCCAGGTTTTTGTTTGTTTGTTTTTTAATCCATGCCTTGATTCAATTAGCGAATGCATTGCAAAACAGGTTTTCCTCTTGCCTTGATCAAATGAGGGCCCCGAGGCTTGGGGATATCAAGCTCTCTCTCCCTGCTTATACAGCCTGGAAGATACAGACCTGGCATTTGCACCTGGCCCTGCAAACTTCAAAGCCTGTGTAATTCCCACGGCATCAACCTGCTCTTGGCACCTGGGCATCTAGAGGGGGTCATGACAGGTAACTACAGAAATATGCACACGTGCACATGTACACACACACACACACACACACACACACACACACTGACCAGTAGTGCAGCTGCCTAAGGCCACCAGGACACAGATTCCTCTGCAGGCCCTTCAAGGTGACCTCGGGGGTGCCCAGTGCTGGGTGCAGACCTCCTTACGGATGGGCCGGCTACTCTTCCTTCTGAGGGAACAGTGAGTAATCTCAGGGCATTTCTTGCCTTATGTCTGGACCCGAGGCTCTGAATGACATCTCTGTTCCTGCCACATCAGAGAAGGTGGGAGGGAGGGTGGTGGAACACTGATGGCCAAGGATGTGGGTGCTTTCATGTGTGGGACCCAGTGATTCTTGTTAACCAAGTGAGGTCCAGCAGGGGGATTTCAGTGTCAAATGTGCCTGTGACGAGGTTCACGGCCATAGAAAAGCAAAGAGGGTGCAGGGAGGGGGAGAATGGTTTTCACAGACAGAGGTTAATTTAATAATAATAATAACAATAATAATAATAAATCGTGTGCCAGACATGGTGCTCAGTGCCTTATGAAGGGAGGTCTCATTCAGTCCCCATACCTATCAGGTAAGGAGGGCACAATCACTGCCCTTTCTACAGATGAAGAAACAGACTCACAGTAGAGAAGCAATTAACCTAAACCCACAAGGCTAATATGTAGCCAGGCTCAGAGTCAAGCCAGGGGCTGTCCTATTCTGCAGCCTCTTCTCCATAAACCCGCACTGGACTGCCTCCGAGGGAACGCACAGGACACAAATGGCCCAATACCCAGGGCCTAAATCAGCGTAACGCTTTGATGAGAAAACTCACACAGGCTGCAGCTCAGCCCTTGCCCCAGATTTCAGACCCCTGACTGGTCCTATCTCCTGGCCCTTACCCTTGGCCACACTCTGAACCTCTGTCTTCAGCAGAACCTTAATCACATTTACAGAATCTACAAGGAACTGTTGTTCCCTTGGGTTGTTTACAAACGGTCCCGTGTGGGAGGTTGGTTTGGGAAGTGACGGAAGGTCAGGACCATTTACTCTCTGAGTCATTCCTCTCTCCCTAGCCCTTGGTCAAGTGTTAGAGCCGTATCTGGAAGATAAACATTGCCAGATCCCACCGGTCCCAAATATTTCCCTTACTCCTCTGCCTCAGTGGTACCCTCTTTCCCTCTGGCCTGGCCTAAAAGCTCCCTCCTGGATAAGACGACAAAGACACGACCAACACTGGCAGACCGCTATGCAACTGGCCAATGGTAACCCAGAGTAGGTCACCCATGAATGTCCTACACCCACCAAAACACTGGGATCGATTTCTCCCCACCTCCTGAACCATGGAAAACTCGGCATGACGTGGTTTCTTCCACAGACTTGAGCCCCACTACTCCCAAGTAGCCTCTTGAGTTTGGGGGATGTTTTTTTCAGAAAATTAACCTTCATGTTGAAACCAAAATATCCCACCTTGTAATTTTCACCCATCAGTCCTAATTCTCTTCCCAAGAAGGTAAATGTGCTACCTCTTACACATGACACCCTGATGGGTTTAAAAGCACTTCTACGGGGGTTCCTGGTGGCTCAGTCAGTTAAGCATCCAACTTTAGCTCAGGTCATGATCTCACTCACGGCTCAGACTTTGAATTTCAATGGCCAGGCTCTCCAGCTGACGCTCCCCGGAGCCTGCTTCAGATTCTGTGTCTCCCTCTCTCTCTCCCCCCACCTTGGCTCGCACTCTGTCTCTCTCTTAAAAATAAATAAACATTTAAAAAATAAAAAAAATAATAAAAGCACCTCTACGTATGAACGGTGAAACGCAAAACTTCAAGGATAGAACAAA